TATAATATATACTATAATAATAATGTAACGAGGGCATAACTAAAAAGTATCGATAATAATTATCGATTTTTAAAGATACATCGATACTAATCAATAATTATTATCGATATGTCGATATTTTTGTCAAGTACTAGCGTAGGGTCCTTCGCTTAGTTTCATTGTCAATAGGTACAATCGCAACACTATTCTGATAGTGCCCACTTTGAAAGGCTTAGCTTATTAATTTCCTGCTGTGTTCGGCAAGGATCTTTAAGGGTATCTACTCGAATATAGGATACTGCTTAAATACGTGAAGTAATTTCATAAAGAACAGCAACTTGAAAACCATCAAGTGTAAATAGTGCTTACAGTTTAGTTGGCATTAGTTCACCAAGGTTTGTTTCGATTATTCACCAACCAAATCGAATAAGTAACTGATAAGATGATTAAAGAGGTTCTGCTAAATTTTATTTAGTAAAGCTATTAAAAATAATTTTCAAAAAATAAAACAGTTTCACCGTTTTACGTCTTCGTGATCTGTGACGGATTAAAAAAATTATGAGATTTTTTCATTTATCATTTGATTTTAATAATTTTTATGGCATTACCAAATCAAATTTTGTCTCACCGAATTAATTATTTACCTTTGTCGTATAACACCGATTTAAGCGCCTTAATACCAAGTAACTAGCAGTATATCACGATTGATGTGGATCGAGATTTTGAACATACCATTTGTCTATAGATGACGATGTACTTCATCATAATTAAGTACTTTCGGATTAATGGGTGACTTATTGAAGCAAACTGAGGAGGAAGAATAATTTCGAATTCGCAATCCACAAACTTATTGTTGTTGACCTAACCGAATATCGGATTATCATTTGTATATTAAATAACAGTGCATCGTGATGTGATTTTTTGTTAGAATGATCAATTTGCAAGTGCTGTAGATATTAGATAACAAAATTGTTTTTCGAAATTAGTTTTTTGGAGTTCTTTGAATTACACCAGTGTTTTTTTCTTAATGTTTAGCGTAATGCCGTGGTTCCATGTGACTTTCCCGTATTGTGGGGTGCCAAGGACGAGGTATGATCCTGTCCTTGAGACTAGAAGCTCTCGCTTCTGCATATTGCGTGATTAATTTTCTCCAGAAAGCTTTCGTAATTTAGAACCCAAAAATCATTGATCACTCATGCTTTTTGTTTTTACGACTTTCCATTTCATTTAAATATAATACGAGAACCTAGTAGACAAAAACTTTCTTGTGCATATATGTTTCACTAATTAGTAAAAAAGGAATTACTTAAAACGATACCATTTAAAAAGGCGGACGAGTGACATGGCACTGATGAAGCATGTTAAGATGACCGAATTTTATTTTTTTCCATTTATATTTATCAGTATAGTAAATTAGATGTATTTATTAAAAATACAAAGTTGTGTGGATTTTTTTCACTTTAAACGTAGGAACTTACTTATTTAATCAGTTTATTGCACTTTACTTACTCACAACATTGAAACTTTTCTAACGTAATAAGTTTTATAAGGTTTACAATTTTAAAAGTGTAGGCGCGATACAATAATTGATAAAATTTTATTTACTTTACTGGTAAATAGTTCTGATTATGCGTAACAGCTACTCGAAAGATTAAAAATAACAAATTGCAGAATATTTCGTATTTAAAACCTAATTCCTAACATTCTCGTGCTTATAATACCTAAATTGATTTGTAAACTTTTATTGTCACTAACGAAATCTTTGCACAGAATAATGTAATTAAAACATTTATTTACATGTAAATCTGCATAAACAGTAGTTGTATACAATAAAAACCCTTGTAGGTACCTCTATGTATGTGATGTCTTCAAGTGCATCTTTACTAATCTTGTTGCAATGAGTAACAACCCTCGTAACTCACTGATTTTTTTTCCTAATGATTTGCCAACAAATAGAATCATGAAAGTTAAGGAGAAATTATTATTCTAGTTGATACTGTTGTATCATTTTTATTCAATGTTATGATTTTGTTTAATGGTATCTCGTGATCTCAATGATTTGCTTCAACTAATAACTAAAAATTATCATTACGTTATGTGTAAAGAAAAAGGTAGTGTTTACTGCAGGTTTGCTTTTTAGGTCACAAGTCATTCAGTTATTGAAAATTTCATTTTAAAACAATCCCACCTATTTTCATGGTTACTGCTATTGAATCCTCAACGTTTTTTTTTTCTTAATTCGACAAAATTGCTACCTTTACCATATGATTTTGGATCAATTTGGGTAAACAGATTCTAAACAAACTATAAACAGTTCAAGACAAAGCAGTTGTATTTCTTTTTATTTAATAATTGTTCTTATAATATGCGCATTGAGAAATTAATTGATTAAAAAATACCACAAAGTGAAAAGTCATTAAACAGATCACGATTCCCCGTGGAATTCCAAACTCATTCACCTTGTATTTTGAATTTTGTTTTTTGGAATATGTACTTGTTTTGGGTGTAGGCGAGTAGTGATGTAGCATTAAAAACATACGCTATTTTCTCAGTAACCTAAATTGTCGAACGCTTTCTATGTAAAGTTCACCGCAAAACAGGAACGATTAGCGTATTTAAAGTCATTAATACAATCTGGTTTCGTTGTACTATGTAAAATTCACACTGTTTACGTTGTAGAAGGACGAGGTGTACCTGAACTTGGTGCTAGAATACATCCCGGAAACCGTCTACAAGGTGGCTAGGCATTACAGCAAGTCTAAACAAACCATACCAATCAGCTTTATTAAAGTGAGTATTTTTGAGTTAAGTTAAGCTTACAGAATATTTCAAGCATTTTTATTATGGTTGAATTTAAGTCTATTCTGTTAATTTATTTATTTATTATAATTTCATTTCTAGTTGTACATGTACCAGTTATTCCGATCACTGGCATACATTCACTCCCTTGGGATATGTCACCGAGATATCAAGCCGCAAAATTTGCTACTCGATCCGGAGACGGGCGTCCTGAAGTTATGCGACTTTGGAAGCGCCAAGCACTTGATCAAAGGCGAGCCGAATGTCTCGTACATTTGCAGCCGCTATTATCGCGCCCCTGAACTTATCTTCGGTGCGATCGATTACACCACCAAGATCGACGTGTGGAGTGCCGGTTGCGTTCTTGCAGAACTGCTCCTTGGTCAGCCAATCTTTCCAGGCGACTCGGGTGTCGATCAGCTTGTCGAAATCATCAAAGTGTTGGGAACACCGACCAGAGAACAGATAAGGGAAATGAATCCCAACTATACCGAGTTCAAGTTCCCTCAGATCAAATCCCATCCCTGGCAACAGGTACGTTACGTCATTTAAATCACTGTTCTACTTCATCAAGCAAAATCTTACTTAAATTTTATTGTAAAGCTAAGAGAAAGACGTTTTTGATATTTCAGAACGAATGGATTTTTATTATATGTATTAATGTTTTATAATATGTTGCNTTAAAATAGTACTTAATATACTCTACGAAAGTAAATAAAAAGCTAATGTTTCACTATTTTCACTCTTATCTAGTGCAAACAAAATTAACGCAAACACCTGACATATCCTTGCCCGTATCAATTGATGATATATTTCTCATCATATGTACTTGACGTATAATATGATTGGCTGGTGTGTGATGAAAGTATTTTCAAGATGTTGAAGGACTCGAAATAAAAATGTTCAGTCTCTCAGAGTCTCTGAAAGCGAGACTAGTCTCCGTCTCTCATCGAGTCTCTCTGGTGTCGCTGAGAGAGACTGTCAAAAAAACTGTTTAGCGTCTCTGAACGAGAGACTCGAATCTATCAATAAGTGGTGTCTCGATAGACATGGTTAAAATTTTCTAAGGTCAACATATTTCAGAGATCCTAGTCTTTCTACGAGAGACTCGAGTCTCTCAGTTTTTCAGTTTTATTCATTCAGTCTCTCTGTGAGAGACTCGAATATCTGAGTTAACAATTTTATCGTTCGAGTCTTTCATACAGAGATTGTGAGAGATCCATAAAAGCACCTAGGCAATAACTGAGAGACTGTGAAAGACTGAGAGACGCTCTCAGAGACGCTGAAAGACTCACACAAAATTTTTGTCTAGGGGAATAATTGATAAATTAATCATTAATTGAAAATTTGCTGTTATTCGTTAACTTTCGGATTCCTGTAATTTTTCATTAACCTTCTACTATGTTTTGGTTTAGATTTGGTACGTATATGGTTTTTGGTTTAAGGTAGGCTATGTCCATAACTATGTCAAAAAATTCGATGTCTCGTCTTAAATATGTCTTTTAGTGTCAATTTGTTTTTTCTCAGCGCCAGTTAGGTGCGTCAGTTTGCCGGGCACTTGAAGTACTTTTTGTGTTTTCTCGTTTTGCAAATTGGTCAGTGGTGCGTGGCGCTTTTATTCGCGCCGATGTCCTAGACACCTTCCTGTAGTCAGTTGTCATCCTTTTTTATGGCTGGTGTGAAGAAAGACAGAAAACGCGACACTATAGACGATGATGACGTTATCCTCGCCACACCTAAAGAAAAATTGAGTACATAAATTCACGCTTTTTATTTCTAATAGTTTGTAGATCGATTTTTTGACAGCGTTTAAAACAGAGGGTGCCTACTTTGAAAGTCTACTTTTACTGGCTACAATTACCCCTTTGCTTGAGGTCGTTGCGCTGCAATCCGGCCAAACATTGTTTAAACCGCGGTTGGTGTTTAAACAATAGCCAAAGGTCATTTTTTTTTTGTCAGAAAGTTGATATTTTCTGGGTTAATTATTGATATATTTATATTTGGATGCGATTTGTATCATAAGCAGCTGTTGTATGTAATATTAGTCATTTAAGTAATGAGTAATCTCCTTGACATTAATTTAGTTATAATAGACATAGTTCGATGTTCTAAACACTAAGACTTAAAATTTAATTGTTTGTGAAACTAATATATATTCTAAGTTATACCTAAATATGCTATCCAATTAATGCGAAAATAATTAGCACAATCAGAACGACTACATGCTAAAACATGTAAACAATACAATCGATATTGTAAGTTTTATATTTTCCGCTGTTATTTCAACTCAAATAATTGTAAATTTTAAATCAATTGTTCCAGGTAAAGACGGAGGCAAGGTAACTACTGTAGTTGCAACTCCTGGACAAGGACCAGATCGGCCCCAGGAGGTTTCGTATACTGATACAAAAGTTATTGGTAATGGAAGCTTTGGTGTCGTTTATCAAGCGAAATTGTGCGATACAGGTGAAATGGTCGCGATTAAAAAGGTCCTACAGGATAAGCGATTCAAGGTATGTCGATCGTTATACGTTTCTTCGTTTTTTTTTTTTCTTTTTCGGTATTTGCAAATATTTAAAGGTTTCGTAACTACCTTTGTGGTTTTGTTATCTCAGCTCCTTGTTATCTGTAGTATCCTTGCAATTTTTGACCTTTACGCAGGGAAGACACCCTTGCGGAAGGTTCGATATTTTTCCCTGATTTCAGGGATGAACGCGCAACATTTCCTCCTGAGCATTTACTCCTTATTAGAAAAGGATTTTCTACGCGTGGGATATTATGTTTCATTTTATCATCCTTGAAAGCAGGAATAATCATACTTCTGGGAGGAGGGTGCGGTAAACAATTGTACACGAGCCTCCCTTCTCCCTAGAGTTCGCAGTTTTCACTTTCTTCCCTTGGTGCATAATATACTGTTCTAAATTCTACACTAAACAACCACTCTGCGCTGTGTGAGTTTGCCAACTTGATAGACATTATTTAGTGTATTCTGCATAGGCGTAGATAGCAAGGGGCAGGGGGGGGACACTGCCCCCCTAGCAAGCTCATTGCCTTCCCCAGAAAAGGCATAAAAGTTTAAAAAACAAACTATTGAAAATCTGCCCCCCCTAGGATAAATGCCCACTACGCCCATGGTGTTCTGAAACATATAAAGTTAAAAATAGAAACTTGTGTGTAGTTGTTTTATTTTCGATGGGTAGATAAGCAAGCTGTATCAAAAAAGAGAAAAAAAATGAAAGGAAGACATGATATCGATTTCCTCTTGCATGTGATCTCTAAAAAAAAAACGTTTCCTGTTTGCATATATGCCGCATGCGTACGTCTATTATTGACACTTAATACAAGATTAGTTATACCATTCCATGATGATCGTGGCTACAGGAGGTACTTAAAAAACTTGATACATGTACAATTTGGCATCAATTCAAATATCTATCATTTGGCATTAAATAGAGTTTATTACTATTCGTTTTTATTTATTTTTGTTTAATGATTCATTAAAAATAACGAGTGAAGCCTTATAAACTATTTTCCAACCGCTTATGGCAAAATTATAGGTATGTTTAATAATAAAATGGGACTTACTCATACCCATCATGATACTCCAAATACTTTAACATTAGTTCTAATGCATATTTCTGGGATTATAAAATTTGAAATTTAATGAAAAGAAAATAGTGTAGGAAAAACTTATTCATTATTATCACAAGGTTGTAATTAGGACTTCCCCCAACCCTATTTGCGAGAAGTCTAACAATAGTGTTGAATTGAATATCCCATCTCAAAAACGCTATTCTTGAGAAAATTGATAGAGTTGGCCTCTACTATATGAAAGTTGATCATAATGATATTTGGAAAAAAAACACTGAAAACTCACTTAATTTTTATTAAATTAACAAGTTTCGACCTACAAGGCCATCTTCAGAAGAAAAATTAATTAATTAATAAAAAGATGGCCTCGTAGGTCGAATCTTGTTAAGAATTTAATAAAAATTAAGTGAGTTTTAAAAAAGTGTTTTTTTTACCAAATATCAAAAACGCTATTAACTTTTTCTTTTTCGCCAAGTCCATCGTCCTCTTGTTCATCTCATTTTTTTTTTTTTTCTTCATAAACTCTAACGTTACTTTTATTTCTCTTATTACGTGCCAGTATGTTTTTGTTTTTCCTTTTTTTTATATATATATTTTCATTCAAAACTACCCAGGTACGTAGGCACATAATACGTAATCATCATTTTTATGATGGCAATGATGATGGTTGTTTTTGTTTTCAGAATAGAGAATTGCAGATCATGAGGAGATTAGAGCATTGTAATATAGTTAAACTAAAATATTTCTTTTATTCAAGTGGGGACAAGGTAAGCAGCTTTCTTAATCTAATTTATTTTACTTTACATTTTTGTACAGTTGAGTGGGTTATATTTTATACGGTTTAATTTTTGTTTTGCGATCATTATCGGTATTGTTTTATGAGCCACGTAAGTTTCAAATAAACCAGATTGCCGTATTTTTTGTGTAATATATGTATCAAGCATGCAGATAAAATAATTTCTAATCGTTATCGTCACATACATATTAATGGCGTAGTTGAAATTAGCACGTGCTGACAGTGTGGTTTTTGCGACTTGTGGCATTGTAATAATTGACGTCTTCCATAGTTACTCAAGTTCAGGTGAACACGACGTTTACTTACTGTTATGAGAAACTCATTAGAAAAAGCAAATAGTTCTCCGATTAACGATAAAACGTTTATTGATTCTTTTTCTTGTTTAACTTCTGAAACTTCTACGTATTGACAACTTTGTCTTTGTCTTTTTTCTCCTGGCTCGCCCGGCACCACCATTAAAGCATTTCCATTGCTTCCAATGATTGAAAATTGTAGCCTATTACTTTTTTTTACTTTATATATAACTATGTAACTAGATTTTGTTGAAAATTATTTTTATTAATCTTTGTCTTTGTGTAAAACAATACTGGTAGTCATTTTTTTTCCATAATTGCATTTGCCGTTCGTGAATAATCCAGGTGATCCGCGTTTTACTTGCTTATTCTTATACAATCGTTTTTAATGGGCACGTCCAGCAACGACTAGCATAATGTAATTATACGGTGAATAGTAATTAGTCGTCACAACTGGCTTACGTAACCTGTTAACTACGGAACATGTGGTCACTTTTTTTTTACAATTATTTCATTTAATTTGCCTTAACTGCCTACTTTTGATTCAATATTTTCTCTATTGAAATGAATTTTTAGAATTTATCTAATAGACAGGGACGTACTAAGGACTATGTATTAAAAGTTCTGGCGCCCTGAGTATTAATTTAACCTGATAATTAATATGTAAAATTTAAAACCGTAAGCCTGTATATTAATCCACTCAACTTGTTACTGCATGTTTTATCTGATTTTTGAAACCAACGTGTAGACATTGGCGTATTTATTGAAAAATTGTTAATTTTTACAATTATTTACAACAACAATAAACTGACTTGAAGTTGGCATATTTGTTACGTATTTATTACTAGTTATTAACATTATTTTCGATATAAACGATTATTTTTATTTAAATATATTTTATAGACGTTCGGGTAGGTTTATAATAATATCTCAAGATGATTTTTTCTTGACTTAATTTCCGTAGTATCAAATGCATCGAATGAAATTGCAAGCTGGTTAAAGAACGTGGAAAACCCATTTTAATTTCCATTTATAAATGAGCATTAATGTTCATTTCTGGGAAATTTTCAATCGGAAATTCTACCTCACTTTTAATTAGTTGTATTTAGAATTACATACCAGGGGTAATTCACTGTAAACATTACGTGCTCTTAAGGCCTGTAAAAGTGTATAACGCCATTTTTTTTTTGCGGTCACATTTTCATTTAGGAATGAAATGTTAATTGGTTTATTTCGGGACCATTTTCACGCATGTGTTCGAGTGTATAAAATATGTAGGGTTTCTACACAATTTCTTCGTAATTTATTATAAAATACACAAACACAGTACGATTTTATTTATACCTAATGTAACGTCCATGTTGATACATTTAGTTGTCTTTTTAAATTTTTTTTGTGACATTGAAGTTTTATTTTTATCCGTTAACTCATTTATTTTTACAAATCAGCTGATTCAAAATGAAGTTTATTAAGTTAACTTCTTTTCGTGATACATTCAATGAAAAGGAAATATAAATTGAGAAAAAAGACGTTGAGTGAATTTAATATATGTTCGGATTAGCTAATTTGTATTACACTAATAAATTGATCAATCGCAGGTTTGTTTTTATTATTAGGAATTTTTATAATATTGTATATTTATATAATATATACTATATCCCCCAACCCTATTTGC